ATACCCATGAGGATGCCCCGTGTCACTGGGACAGGCTGAATAGCATCCAGACTTCTCCCAAATAAATCCTGCACTGTGCAGCAGGAAAGGGGGATGGGGACCAAATCAAGAATGCATGGCCTGCCTGCCAAAAGCTCTCGGCAGCTAAATAACACATGGTACCACATGACTGAAGTAGCTGGTCTTCCTAATAAAAAAAGATCTGGTCTAGTCCCATTCACAGGAGGCCTTCTTCCTTGAGTACCCAGCATGTGCTGGGCCCACATTGATGACCTTTAGTGAAGGCTGTTAAGTATGCCCTGGGTTTGAAGGGCCAGAAAGCTATCCAGAAGGATAGGGAGTAATCAATGCACACCCAGTTTCTACAATCTAGGGAGGCTGGCTGGGTGGGAAGCAAGAGTAGACAGGCTACCATTCCACACAGCAGGATTAGACTTGCCAGCAAAGCCCTGGAACAGATCATTTCCTGAGAACTACCAGGTAACAGAGACCCCTCCAAGCATTTGACAGATAAGCTCTCAATCCATTCAGATAGGAGTTCTGATTTTCACCCATTACTGAATAAACTGAGGCACAGAATAGAGAGGTAATTCCTAAGACCATGCATGTGGCAGAGCCACACTCTGATTGCAGAATCAACACTCTGTTGGTTCTTTTCTGCTTTTGTTTTGAGACAGGGTCCCCTGCAGACCAGGCTGGCCTTGGACAGTCTATGGTGATGAGGATGACATTGAACTCTTGTTCCTCCTGCCTCTGTCCCCAAGCGCTGGGATTGCAGACGTGTGGCACCACACCCAGGATTAACACTCTACTGCTAGGCTCAGATGGACAGACAGATCATGTAGATGGGAGATTGTGATTCAGTTTCTTAAGAATGAGTAAGGGACGCGAGGCAATGGTGGTGCACTCCTTTAATCCCAGCACTCAGGAGGCAGAGGCAGGTGGACCTCAGTGAGTTTGAAGCCAGCCTAGTCTACAGAGTGAGTTCCAGTACAGTCTGTACTGTTACACAGAGAAATCCTATTTTAAAACAAAACAAAAAGAATGAGCAAGGGACATCTTATAGGCTGTGAGATGGGGAGTCTATGCTGGGGTTAAAGATATCCTAGACTTCTGTCACGATGTTTCCAGAACAGTGGTCCTCAACCTTCCCAACACCGTGACCCTTTAATACAGTTCATGTCGTGCTGACCCCCAGCCATAAAATTATTTTTGTTTCTACTTTATAACTGTAATTTTGCTACTTTTATGAATCGCAATGTAAACATCTGTGTTTTCCAATGATCTCAGGAAACTCCTATGAAAGGCTTGTTCAACCCCTGGGGGTCATGACTCACAGGTTGAGAACTACTGTTCTAAAGCAAGATGCTGTGCCCTCTTCTAGATCAGGCGCCCTTGTGACCCCAGGAACCATTGCTTCCCTTTCTCCACGACAAAGAACACAACGAAGTCAGCATGTTCTTGTGAAATCTTAAAAGCATGCTGGCCCCATACTCTTGCAAGACTGTTGTTCCCATCGAGTTCAAAGCCGCGCGCTCCCATGACTCTCTCAGACCCACAGCAACTGCTTGGAGAAAGGTAGACACACCCTGAGCTCCCGAGAGCTAGCTCAGCCTGGATGCATGATCTACAAGAACACCCGCTACTTCTGAGATCAGGGAGCAGCACTGCTCACTTGCTACTCTCTCCCGCTAAGAGTCCACTCTGTCCTTACCCCACAAAGTAGTATTTCCTTCAGTTTTGAGTCAGAGCTAATGCTGCTTGTGAGACTGCCAATGGTGATCCGAAAAAAAAAAATGGTCTGGTTTAGCGCTATCTTTTTCCCATTTTCCCCTCATGTGTTCCTCAATAGTTAAACTCCTAAGCACTTGATTATGATTACAAAGTGTGGGTGTGGGTGTGTGTGCAAGTGTGGGTGCACGTGGGGAGCCCAGCGGTTGATGTTGGTATCATCCTCAATTGCTTCCACCATACTTTGGAGATGGGTTCTCTCACTGATCAGCTAGGCCAGTGAGCTCCAGGGGTCCTCTTGTCTGCACGTCCCACCCAGCTTGGGGTTAGAGCACCCAGTATTTTACATGGATATTGAGGATCTCAACATCATGCTTATGTAACAATCACTTTGTTGACTGAGCTATCTCCCCAGCCATGATTATATGTGTGTGTGTGTGTGTGTGTGTGTGTGTGTGTGTGTGTGTGTGTGTGTGTGTGTGTGTGTGTGTGTGTGTGTCTTTTGAGACAGGGTCTCATTATGTAGCCCTGATTGACCTGGAACTCACTGTGTAGATCAGAATGGCCTCAAACTCACAGAGAGCTACCTCTTACCTCACAAGTGCTGGGATTAAAGGTATATACCACCACCCCCAGCTATATTTTTAAAAAGATATTTATATTTTACTTTATGTGGATGGGTACTTTACCTGCATGTATGTATGTGTACTACTTGCATTCCCAATGTCCTCAGGGTCAGAAGAGGGCATCAGATCCCCTTGGAGTTACAGATGGTCATTAGCCCCTGTGTGGGTACTGGAAACCAAGCTTGGATCCTCTGCAAGAGCAGCAAATGCCCTTAATCACTGAGGCATCTCTTAAGGCACATGATTATAATTTTTGAGTGTGAAAATCTCCATCACATTTCAAAATGTCAGCATGCTCTGCTGACCCAGAAATGGAGCCAAGATTTCAAAACCTAGGTACCAATATATTTGAAACCTATCATATACCCTAAACAAATACACTGAATCCTACCTCCTCAAGGTCTGGGATCACAAGACTACTGTTGAGTCCATAAGGAGAAAAATGCAGGCATGGGGTTGAAATGGAAACACCGAAATATTACAGTTGCCAGAAAGCAGAATCCTAAGGAGTCACTGGAGAAGAGCGTGTAATATTTTTAGGAGTTAAAGCAATTAGCTGTGAGCATCTCATGTGCTAATGATTTGAAGGGCAGGGTTACAGGAGTAAATGATTCTGGAATACATAGTGATCAAACGAAATTCTGCTTTTCTCTTCCAACTTTCAACCAGAAGAAGGCCTCTGGCTGGAGCTGGCAGATCTTTCTCACCTCTGCAATACTTGGTAATCTTACCTTTCAGCAGAAAGGCAGGGCTGTGAGACTCAGCCGCCAGGCAGGCAGGCAGGCAATGGGTAATAGAGTGGACTACTATTACTTGGCTCTCGTTTTACTAATGTTTCAGTCATCTTCTGTGTAAGCTGAGCGAGGATGTTTTATCAGTTCCTTTAGCCATCTAGAGCTCTGACTCCAAGGACCCGGCACCCCTGGAGTGAGCAATGCAGACACCCAAGCTCCATCTGGGGTCTCCTGCATCACAGCCTCCATTTTCAGATTCCCAGGTGATGCTGAAGTCCATGAATGTATTAAAATGAGGTGATCCAAGGAAATCTAAGGGAGGCCATCTCCAGTATCAAAGGTCTTAGGTCAGCAGGCTGGCAGAGACAGCTGTGTTAACAGGGCTGAAAGCATGCCGTGGGGGTACAGCTGCCTCTGACTCTCACAGGTCATGTGACCATAAGTAAATCACTCCGTCTCTGTGCCTCCATTTCCTTGTGTCAACTGAGGATAATAATGGCATGTGATTTCTCAAGGTTGTAAAGAGTCAATGAGATAATGGACTTAGAGTTATTCATGGCACAGAATAAGAGCCTAATGCATATTATATTAATTACTCATAGTAATAGTAGTAGTAGTTGTTGTATTCAACACACAGTGGATTTCACAAACTCGTTTGTTGGTAGTTATTACTTTTTTGTGGTACTGAGATCAAACCCAGACTGCACATTCTAGGCAAGTGTCTTCCTTCCCTTTGAGCTACAGTCCCAGTTATCTATAAAAGCTAGAGGGATGGCTCAGCAGGTGGTGCTTCTGCCAAACTTGACCCCTCCAAGTTCAATCCCCAGAGCTCACATGATATAGGGTGAGAACTGTCTCCCAGAGATTAGTGTTCCTGCTACTGATAGGAGCATCTTGATGGGGGTTTCTTAAGTGGACAATTAGAACGGAGGGTTCTGTGCATGCTTCTGTAAATATTCATATATGGCTCCAAATGGTACTTTCAGGAAGCTAGGAACTTAGCAGAGAAAATAGAGGCTTCCTCGACCTCTCTGCCTACAGCATTGGCTCAGAGACAACACATCAGAAAGCACTGCGGGGGGGGGGGGGGGGGGGGGGGGGAGAGGATGACCTCATTTTATCATCCACCAGCAGAGGACCTGCTCCCCTGAATGCAATGGGAGGAATCAGAACCCACCCATCTCACTCTAGCCAAAAAGTTCAGAACACAGCCCTCCCCCTTGTATTCACAATTGCAGCTGCACTGATTTGTACAGTGAAAAGGGGCCAGGGGCCAGAGAGCTGGCCCAGCAGGTGAAGGCACTTGCCACCAAGCCTGATGGCCTGAGTTCAGTCCCTGGAACCCACATGGTGGAAGGCAAACTGGCTCCTATAGAGCGTCCTCTGAGCCCCCGACCTGTGCGCACCCACATGAACCATGGCATATCCCTTGTGCAAGCATATTTCTGCAATGCTCACATAAGAGCGAAAATACCTTCACAGATCTCAGATGCTCTCCAGGCCATTAATCAGTGCATGAAGTATTCCTGAAAGGAGCCATAAGAAACTGGAAACAGGAAAACTGTGTGATTAGAACATAGGGGGGAAAGGGTATCTCCTACTGCTGCTGAGAGAGAGAGAAAGAGAGAGAGCACACAGACTAAAGCCAGGGTCATATGCATGCTAAGCAAGTACTTTGCCACTGAGCTACAGTCTTTGCCAAGTCTTTAGTAAATCTTTTGAATGTTATCCTGGTTGTAGGCATCAAAGGTTCAAAACAACTTTTTTGTATATGAACTGGTTAGCAGGTTTATAAAAAGGGGAATGTTTTTCAGTCTGGTAGAGAGTCAGCTTAGAAGGGGCTGAGGAAGAAGGGTGGGTTCAGGTTTTTAACTCATCCCTGCTCATCCTGAGTCCTGACTCTCCACAGCAACAGACAGAAGTGGTCCATGTGTCCCAGACCCAAGAGGAAAAGCTGGCCGCTGCCCTCAGTGTAGAGTTACACGACACTTCATGCCAGGTCCAGAGTCTCCAGGCTGAGATGGAATCTTTACGGGCTCTGGTGAGTGTGCCAAAAAAAGGCCTTGGCGGTTTGTGTGCTTAACTCTCAACTGTCAGTTTGAAGTCTCACAGGTCGCAGTTCGCAACAGGGCTTCCTTCTCACAGGATGTGGTTTTGGCACCTGAAGTGTCTTCTGACCTCTGAGGATCATCAGATACTGACTCACACCTAACAAGTGTCATGGACACAGCAGGGCCTGTAGAAATATCCCTTACCTGCCACTGCTGGGAATGTTGGCCACTAACACTTGCAGCTGTCCCTTCTCAGCTGCCCTGCTTCTTCAAAGAATTGCCATCAGTCAAACAGAAGATTTCCGATCCAAGAAGTTAGGCCATGCCCCTGCCCCAGACAGTGACAGACTGATGGCTTTGAAAGCCCAGCCTACTAGCTTCAAAGTGGAAACAGTTGCCCAGAGCTCGCTCTCCATAGACTCAGGCAGTAGCCAGTTTTCAGAGAGGCCATTCTCTTGCTTAGCACTCTCCTGCCCTGCCTCCTTACCTCAATCAGTCCCCCTTTTGCTGAGAGTAACCCTGAGGATCCTTGCCTCAACCTCAAACTAGTAAGCTCAGACTCGCTGTGGTTTGCAAGCAGGTGCCTTGCAACTACTAATTATTAGTAATTAAAGTAATTACAGTCAACCCTCTGTATCCATGGTTTCTCCATCTGTGGATTCAATCAACCTTGGACTGGAAATATCCAGGAAAAACATCGCACCTGTTCTGCACTTGTGCGGCCTTTATTTCTTACCCATGTGCCCTAAACAACAGCCTAGTCATCATCTATATGGCTGTGCATTGTACAATGTAAACATCATCTAGAGATACTTCACGGAGACTCAAGGAAATATGCAGGAGGATTGTGTAGGTTATATGCACATATGATGTCGTTTTCTGTAAGATATTTGCATCTATAGATTTAGATATCCGCAAACATCTTAGACCCAACCCAATACAGCTCCTAAGATGACTGAATTAAGCTTCACCTTCTGGGTGGGATTGAGCTCTATTAGGGTATCATGACATCTCCTTCATTGTTCTAACTACAAAACATTGTTGGAACATATGTGTGTGTCGGCATGCTTTTAAGTCTGTATCACTCACAAGAACTCACCGTGTTCCAGGAGCTATACCAAGAGCTTTGGGGACATAAGACTAATTAGACATGGCCTCTACTCCCAGAGAACCAGTGACTTCTGTAGAGGAATTGAAGTCATCTTAAGAATCACAAGGCAAAACCAAAAAAAAAAAAAAAAAAAAAAAGAGAAAAGCCGGGCGGTGGTGGCGCACGCCTTTAATCCCAGCACTCGGGAGGCAGAGCCAGGCGGATCTCTGTGAGTTCGAGGCCAGCCTGGGCTACCAAGTGAGTCCCAGGAAAGGCGCAAAGCTACACAGAGAAACCCTGTCTCGAAAAAACCAAAAAAAAAAAAAAAAAAAGAATCACAAGGCTCAGCATGTGAGGGAGTGACAAGTGGGGAGACCAGCCCCACTATGGGAGTCAGTACGTTTCTCTTTTTGGTGGGTATAGAGAAGGGCACAGTTGGGGCGCAGTCTAGAAGAACCCCACACACCATGAAGTCTACATCTGCCTCTGCTCTTCCTGTGAAATTGAGGCGTGTTTCTCAGACTGTGATCTTGAACCCCGGGCTCCGCTCTTCACTAGTCACATGACCCTCTGAACTTGTATTTTCTCATTTGTCTAGTAAGGATCTATTTTAGTCACCCTGTTGACCTGCTGTCTTAGTGGCTTAAGACAACAGAATCATGTGCTCTATCGTCCTGTAATTTAGGCAGAGGTCAGCAGGGACAGCTCTTCCCTATCACACCTGATGTCTGCTGGGGTTGGGGCACCCACTAAAGGCTTCTTCAACTCACACAGGAGATGCTTCAATTGTGAATCTGTGTCCTGCTCTGAAACCTCTCCACAGAGCTAGCTTGGATTTCCTTGTATTATGGTGGTGTTATTACTGCAGCTGGACTTCTCATGTGGAAGCTTGCTTCTCTTAAAGAGCGAGCATCAATCTACCAGCCCCCTGACCTCTTAGCTTTAGAGTTTCTGAACATCACATATATCTTACTCTATTGGTCAAAGCAACCACAGGAGCACCGAGATCCAAGGAGCCCCGACTCTTAGCAAGGTCACCTTGAGAAGGACCATGTGGGATGGCGATAATTGTTGCAGCTGCCTTTGGAAATGTGATCTGTCCTAAGATCAGAATAGAGCTGACCTCAGAAAGTCACTGGGACGACTAATTAGATAATGTATGTCAAGCCTTTTACACCATTCCTGACTCAGGCAAGCAGTCAACAAAGGGCATCTATTATAATTTATCATGCAAAACCAGAACCTCTGACTCGGGAACCCCCAGTGGGCATCATCAGCCACCTGGTCACCGCACTTCAACCCCACGCTCCTAACTGTTGGGAAATGGGAAATGGAAAAAGAACTCAGATGCCAGCCAGAAGACTTCAGAGTGATGGCATTCCACCTATGCTCATGACTCAAGATGGGCTAGCTCTGTTCCCTGTGTGTTCCAATAGATCAACATTCCCATTACTGTGCCTTACAGCCAAGATGAAGAACACAGACTGGGGATGGGGGAGGGCTAGTTCATCCAGCTATCCTGAGTCAAAACAACCCATGCGTACACAGTGCCATTGCTCTGGTAAGCCAGACAACTTTGTTGGCCAGACTTTCGGCTCCCTTTGCCACTAGGGCACTGTTTGGATTGGAAGCCAGGCACCATTAGGCCTACTGAACTCTGTATTTAGTGGAATTCAAGCCCAGGATTTGCCAAAAATAATTATTATCTTGCTTCTGGGGGAGCTTGCAATTCAAGAAAGTCCCTTCCAGTCTTCAGAGACCCAGAGGAATCAAGAGCCTCTGTGGTCTCAGAGTATTACTGGTGCTGTCCATGTCTCTAGGGCTACAGAAACTGCAACAGGAGTTGGCCATAGATGCTCAGGCTCAAACATCTCTGAAGAACCAAGCATCTCCTTCTAGGATGATGTCAGGAGCTTGGCCCTACTTAGTGGCGAATACCTTTAAATCCAGCACTTGGGAGGCAGGTAGATCTCTGTGATTTTGAGGTCAGCCTGGCCTACACAGTGAGTTCCAGGACAGCCAGGACTATATGTTGAGACCCTGTCGGGGCAGGGGGTGAAGAATGAACGTCAGGAGCTTAGGTGAAGATGCGAGACATAGACTCTAAGGGTAGAAAAGAAGGTCCACAGGGGTCTCATGAGTGCACCCCTGGGACAATATCCAAGTCAGCAAGGAAAGCCCTTTGGCCACATGGGGAGCTCATCTAGAATGTGGGGCAAAAACTGTAGACAGTCCAAGCATGTCCCTGTGAAGTGCTTCTCTAAATCACAGATGTCACAGATCCAGTGTCAACAGCTCACAAAGAGGACACAGGTTTAGAAGTCTGTTCAAGCCGGGCGGTGGTGGCGCACGCCTTTAATCCCAGCACTCGGGAGCCAGGCGGATCTCTGTGAGTTACAGTCTCTCTGGGCTACCAAGTGAGTCCCAGGAAAGGCGCAAAGGTACACAGAGAAACCCTGTCTCGAAAAACCAAAAAAAAAAAAAAAAGAAGTCTGTTTAAGACAAAAATCTAACTCCTATATAAAACAAAAGAGAGAAAACCCAAGGAGGTAGGGGCAAATGATTCTCAAAGTCTAGGCCATTCCTGCATGTTCACCACAGACCCCACCAGTGAACTAGCTACCGGGGCCAGAGGCTGGTCTATACACAGTGATCTCGCACTGCTTCCTAAAAGGCACTAGGCTGGGCATCTGACTAAGGTTCCACATGTCCTGGGGAGCTAAGAAGATCCAGAGGCCAAGGAGATTGCTCAGTCAGTCAAGTGCTTGCCCTGAATTCCATCTCCAGAGCCTACAGGCATGGTGGTGTGCCCTTGTAATCACAGCACGGGGGAGGACAGGTCTAGACTACTTGTTGCGTTCTAGGCCAGAGAGAAACCCTGCCTCAAAGAGAAATGTGAACAGTGCCTGAAAAATAATGTCTGAGGTTGTCCTCTGATTCCACACACATACACACGTGTGCACCCACACAGACATGTGTACCCACACACACATGAGCACACGTGCTTTAGCTAATATGATGACCTTTGCCCCACAAACAAGAATCTTTCACTTCAGCTACAGTAGTCAGAAGTCTGTTTTACAAAACATCCCCTCGAGGGGTACAGTGAGTTAATTCATCAAGATTTGAGTGAATCCAACCTAGGAAAAGAGATTCATTTTTATGTGTTACATCGCCAGGCATGGTGGCACCTGTGCTCAATCCCAGCACTCGGGAGGCAGAGGCAGGCAGATCTCTGTGAGTTCTAGGTCAGCCTGGTCTACAGAGTGAGTTCCAGGACAGGCAGCGCTATATAGTGAGACCCTGTTTCAAAAAGAAAGGAAGAAAGAGAAAGAAAGAAAGAAAGAAAGAAAGAAAGAAAGAAAGAAAGAAAGAAAGAAAGAAAGAAAGAAAGATAGAAAGAAAGAAAGAAAGAAAGAAAGAAAGAAAGAAAGAAAGAAAGAGAGAGAGAAAGGAAGAAAGAAAAGAAAAGAGAGAGAAAGAAAGGTGGGAAGGAAGGAAGGGAGGGAGGGAGGGAGGGAGGGAGGGAGGGAGGGAGGGAGGGGGGAGGAAAAAGAAAAGAGAAACACTATGAACCCAGTAAGCTTCCATGACTAGAAATGTTGACACAGTGTAGAGTAGGAGGTGAATGGGAAGACACAGAACCAGCCGTGGGAACCGTACCAGGGCTCCTCCGGAGCCACTGTTGTGAGGTTTAAGTAGAAGAGATAGGAGCCCAGAAGTGTGCTTTGGCCAAGGCACCTCAGGAGCTGTGTGCAATGTAGGAAGGGTAGAAACTAAAATCAGGGTGATGAGCAAAGAGGCCACTGAGCTGACCTCGGGTGACCAATGTCCAATCTCAGGCCGCGGTGTTGGGAGAATAAAGGTGACCGCAAATGTGAAAACTTCACGGGAGATGTAAGAGGCAGGACTCAGAATCCATAAGTGGCAGTGATGACTGAAAGTCCAGGACACAACTTCCCCCAGTCTCTCCAGCTGACACACCAAAGAGGAGAGTCCAAGGGTTCAAAAGGAAGCCACTGGCTCTGTTTTGGAGTTGTCAGTATGTATTTCTTTTTCTTTTTTTTTTTTTTTTTTTTTTTTTTTTTTTGGTTTTTTGAGACAGGGTTTCTCTGTGTAGCTTTGCGCCTTTCCTGGGACTCACTTGGTAGCCCAGGCTGGCCTCGAACTCACAGAGATCCGCCTGGCTCTGTCTCCCGAGTGCTGGGATTAAAGGCGTGCGCCACCACCGCCCGGCCAGTATGTATTTCTAATAAGAAGTATGTATTTCTAATAAGAAGTTCAATAGCAGGCCCATAGCTGAGGGCTGCCCTGGAGGTACCAGTGCAGGCGTCATGATCTGAAAGAACTGCTAGCAACCTGAGTGAGGTCATCAGCCATGCAGACCCAGAATCCCTGCTCGAGAATCTCTAGCTCCTGATGGGGCAGTGGGAACCTACCAAGGAGCAGAGAGGCAGGGCCTGGCAAGGGTGTATTACTAAACACCACAGGAAAATGCTGAGAGGTAAGGGTCAGATACAGCCATTTCAGCTCCCTCCTAGTCATCCCCTCCTGCCCATCCAAAGAGTCGATGAGGCAGAGCTCTACCTTCTTATTCTTCCCTAGAGCCAGTAAGACTGATCTCTATAATCTCCAGAGTTGACAATGTCATTGTTCCAGAAAAACATGGGCAGAGCAAGTCAGTCATACATTTCCTACCTGGAGGGCCCAGCCCGATGACCTTCACTCTTTTGTAGAAACGAGGCCTAGAAAACACCTTGCATGATGCTAAGCATTGGCATGACATGGAGCTGCAGAACCTGGGTGCTGTGGTGGGCAGGCTGGAGGCAGAGCTGGCAGAGATCCGCTCGGAGACGGAGCAGCAACAGCAGGAGCGGGCACACCTGCTGGCATGCAAGAGCCAGCTGCAGAAGGATGTGGCATCCTACCATGCTCTGCTGGACAGAGAGGAGAGCAAGTATGTCTCAGTTCTGCCTTATCTACAGGAAGAATGCACATGGAGGACGGGGTGGAACTGGGAGGGTCCAGAACTGGCCGAGAATACACAAAGCCCTGGGTTCAACCCCCAGCATTGCATAAAACTCTTCATGATGACCCCACATGTCACATTTCATTCAAGCCCAGAAGGAGGGAAGAGGGAGTGTCAAAAAGCCTTTTTCTTGAGTGACACTTAAACTTTTTTTTAATTGAGATTTTTATTTATGATTATTTTATGTGTATGGGTATTCTGCCTGCAAGCGAGTCTATGCACCACCTGTGTGCAGCACCCATGGAGATCAGAAAAGGGGACTGGAGTTAAGACAGTTGTGAGCTGCCACATGGGTGCTGGGAATTGAACCCAGGTCCTCTGGAAGAGCAGCCGGTGCTCTTAACTGCCAAGTGGTCTCTCTAGCCCAACTCTCAAACATTTGGAGGAGGCTTCTTGTTGTCTTTCTTTTATTTGACTGGCTTACCTGCCTACAAGGGATGCTGAGGAAACTCTTTCATTTGGACTCTGCAGAGAAGGCAAGCAAGATGTCGACAATGACAATGGGGTTGGCCAGCCATGTCTGCCCAAATCATACACACACACACACACACACACATACACACACACACACACACACACACATACACACATATGACCTTGTGAGCATATGTGCATCCTCTCTAATCAATAGGCACATTCAGAGAAATACGCATCAGTCCCAGGGCTTAGCATCATTTGAAAGACTTGCCAGAAATCCAAATCTTTATTTTTCTTCATTTTCTCTATCTTCATACCTCCCTTCAAATTCTCCTCTATGGCACATTGAATCAGGAATTGGACAGTAAGGGCTGGAGAGATGGCTCAGCAGTTAAGAGCACTGGCTGTTCTTCCAGAGGACTTGGTTCAATTCCCAGAATCTACAATGTGGCTCACATTTATAACTCCAGGCCCAAGAGATCGGACACTCTCTGGCCTTAATGGGCACCAAGAATGCATATGATGTACAGACATATATGCACACAAAATACCTGTACACAATCAATCAACCAATGATTTTTTAAAGCAACACTATGAGACAAGTTAGGGGAGCTGGTGAGATGGATCAGCAGGTAAAGGCATTCCATACACAAGCCTAACAGTCTGAGTTGAACCCCCAGAATCTACATAAAGGTAGGAGAGAACTGACTCCATGAAAATGTCCTCTGGCTTCTATACATGTGCTATGGCATTCACCCACGTGTGTGTGTGTGTGTGTGTGTGTGTGTGTGTGTGTGTGTGTGTGTGTATGCACACACATACAAATACTAATAAATAAAAATAGAGTACAAAAGCCAATTTAGGGGTCACATAGTCCATCTCAAGAGTGAATGGGAAGGCCCAAATGGGAGGGATTTGTCCATGGTCACACACAGAGGTTGAAGCAACTCTGGGTCCTGAGCCCAGGCTTCTGGGCCCTCTCCCAGAGAGCATAGCATCCCGTTTGGGGAAAGAATGACCAGAGAGTCACCTGCAAACCTTCCAGCCTCTCCTTTGAAGTGGAAAACATCATCTCTCTCCCCCAACTGTCTTTTTGTCCAACTGCTTTCTGTGGAATGTGAAAGCCAGATGTTCCTAACAAAACTAAACCTTTCAGATTCCTATGCACATCTGAGTAAATATACAAAGTCATTTTAAATAAACATGGAGGAGTGAGGGAGGTGGGATGTAGTTCAAGAACATAAGCACCCGCTGAGTGGCTGTTCTGCAGAGTCCAGCCCTAATCCCTGGCTGCCTCCATTCCTTCCTGTGCCCACCAGAATTCCACAAATCCCCAGTTACTGACAGAAACACATGTCCCAGAGTTCCGGAAAAGTCATTTGCCCAAAATCCATCAAACCACAAAATGAGGATTCGAACCTTGGCCCTGTCTTATTCCAAAAGCCAAATTCTTTCTCGTGGCACAGCTTCCTTTCCCACCGTCCTGCCGTGGTGTCTTTCCCGGTGTTCCGTCTCTCTTGCTTCTGACTCACCTGTGTTCCTTTTCAGCTGATGGGAAAAACAAAAATAACTTCCTTCTTCCACAAAGACACCTACCTTCTTCAGCAGCCCACCAGCGACGATGCTTGAGGAACTTCCGTCGCTGCTGGATCCCCTGGTTGACTCAGCCGGAGCTGGAAAGCTTCCTGGGAGTGGAGAGGGCCCTTCTGCTCTCATTTAGGTAGTCTGTAGTTTGAACAACCTAGGCCTCTCCAAATAAATGCTTTGTGTGCAGCTCCTAGTCGGCCATTTTGTGTTTAACTTACTGTTGGTGCAGACGACATCGTTCTATCTGCATATCTCAGGGGCCCCTTGGGGATTTTCGTTGGTATTTTGTGCATGTGCATGTGTGTGTGTGTGTGTGTGTGTGTGTGAGTGCGCGTGCGTGTGCGTGTGTGCGTGCGTGTGCATGTGCATGTGTGCGTGTGCGTGTGTATTGTTGGTTCACAGGATGGAACCCGGGGCCCATGCATGCTGATTATCTACTGTCTCTACACTACTTTCCCCGTACTAGGGAGCCAGTCTTAGATATTTCTAGAAGGGACCTGGAGTGATAACACCTGTCTCACCATTGCCTCAGGGTTTATCAGCACACAAGCGCTGTTCACTCAAAAGTTCTGCTTTTGACAGGTACCTAGGTGAAACAAAAATGTACACATACAGAAACACACACACACACACACACACACACACACACACACACACACACACACACACACTTTTGCCAGAACAGGGGTTAGCCTGTTGCTTTATTGAACACACCATAATTACAGGCATCACAGGGCATTCCGACCTTGTGAATGACCCCCATGCATATTTATACACACACACACACACATCTCGTTTGCCCGTGGCACAGCACCTCTCCATCAGTTTCAGCCCATGGGAGACTAGGTTGTGGTTGCTCACCCAGTGGCAGCCTCAAAATTTCTTCTCAGGATCCTCACACCAGCCCCCTCAAGGCTTGGGCCAGCCAAATATAGTTCATGCATCTGCTTCCTACGCAGCCAAGACTCTCCTGCCTTCAGACTAAAACTGAAACCACCACCTGTGTCCTACCACGGGCTGTCGGTGCTTCTGAAACCACACACCACCATACCACACCACCACAAACTTAAACACTTCTGTTTCCGTCACCTACCTGCTACACCGAATTAGACCAAGAACTAGAAGCTGAATCTTTGTCCCCTTTGTCACTGTGAGCTGCTCACCCCAAAAGAGGGATACATCCAGTGTAGGAACATTTGAAGACCTTGGTATGTAAAGTTCCAAAAAGACAAATAAACTGTTTATTTAAAGTCAAACAAACAACCCCCCCCCAAAAAAAAAAAAAAACACCAAACCTTCAAAAAGAAGCAAGCTGTCCTGTGGGAACTGTATCAGATAGATTTCCCTGCTAGCCTGCAGGACCAAAGAAATTGAGTTCATGAGTCTCCTGGAAGACCAGCCACTTACTTAGACTTTGCACAGTATCTTTGCATAATTCAGTTCATTGTCTAAAGTATAGAAACAGGCAAGACGCCGCTCACGCTCCATTTCAGCAGAGCATCCACTTGCCCTGTAGCTGCACGTTATGGACTGCTCCTAATTGAACCACCTGGGTACAAGCCACTCAGGAAGACCGTGCAGCTATCCCAACTATGTTGGATGCCGCAGGTACTGTGGAAGGTTGCTTTTCTTCCTTATTATCATTAATTATTGCCTCTAAGCCAAGATCTCAGTTCCCAACCTCAACACAGCCTGAGGCCTGGAAGGTGAGGACCCCATGCATTTTTTTTCCGCAGAATCTGGAAGCCAGCCCAGTCGATGTGCACCGCTCTCTCCCAGAAGCACACTGCGTGGGGCTGCACACTTCAGACACTTCTGCCCTCCAAGCTCAGAGAGCACGTGCTACAAGTCAGTTAGTTAATCGCCTTTTGGCAGGGAGAGCCATGACTGACTGCTGCTTCCAGTTCCCAGCGCAGACGCCTGCTGCTTCTAATGAGGCTTCATTAGCAGGTATGAAAAGGCCCTGCTGGCCCCTGGACGCTGCCAGCTCCTTTTTGAAGTGAGGCTTCCTCTCGAAACATCATGGTACAATTACCCATTGGCAGTGGTTCCCTGACAGGTGTGGGGGGAGGCTGCTGCTGTGGTGACAAGCATTTGTTCTGGAGTAGATGGGTGAAGGGCTTTGACTGGATTCCTCCTAAGCACAGCGGAGCTCTCTTTCCACACCATGCAACTCTACTCCACTGGACTCTGGGTGTCCAGGCGTGCACCCCCATGAGGTTGCTGGAACATCCATTGGCTTTGAGACCCCACATCCTTTGATCGCATTGTCCTTAAATTTTCCTTCAAGGTTACTGGTAATGCTTTTGAGCATGGACCGCTGCTCAAATGTTTTGATGGGTTTGGGGAATACCAATAAAAACAAAGACCATATCTGCCCTCCTGGGTTGACAGTCTTGGTGGGGAATTCAGATGTACATGTAAAAGAGTCGACAAAGCAAAATGGCACTTTACAGTTTGCATGGGCCTTTCCCTGAATTCATTTTGTCATCAGAGGCATGAAAATAGATATCCAGGTCTGACTTCAGTTGCTTTTCAACAACAGGATTCAGTAAGTGCCATCCAGAAGCACACTGGTCTTTGTTTGAATTGCCTGCCCACACTCTCCAGTAAGCCCTTGGGTGTGTCACATGTCTTTATCTCATCACATCTGTTTGTTTGTTGGGAGAAGTGTGTCGTGGTGCAGGCGGAGGTCAGAGGACATCTTTCAGAGGTTGGGTCTCTCCTGCCACGTGGCTCCTGGGGATCAAACTCAGGTCATCAGGCTTGGTGGCAAGTACCTTTACCTACTGAGCCATCTTGCTGGCCCACTAGCTTGCCTCTTGGAGGGAAAATACAGGATCTTATCAAAGGTTGCCACTAGCAAACAAAAATGGAAGGTGTCTGGCTTAATTCATCACAAAACCAATTTGTTTTTAGCATATGTATGCCCTACATATCATAGAAGATTTTTTTTCTTTTCTTTTTTAAAACAGGGTCTCACTATGTATCCCTGGCTAGCCTAGAACTCACTATGTAGAGCAGTCTGGCCGAGAACTCCCGAAGAGCCACTGGCCTCCCTCCATCTCCAGAGTGCTGGGATTAAAGGCACGCACCGCCACACCAGTGTTCTTTTTATTGTTGCCGCTGCTGTTGGTTTGATTTGGTTTTGATTTTTGACTCAGGGTCTCAAGTGACCCAGACTGCCATCAAGCTTGCTATGTAGCTGAGGCTGACCTTGAACTCCTGCCTCCCTCCACCTGCCAAATAGTGGGATTATAAAGATGTATCACCACACTCAGTTTGCACAAAATAGTCTTTTTTTGGGAGGAGTGGGGGTTCAAGACAGGGTTTCTCTGTGTGGCCCTGGCTGTCCTGGAACTCAACTCTATAGACCAGGCTGGCCTCAAACTAAGAGATCTGCCTACCTCTGCTTCCCGAATGCTGGGACTAAAGGTGTGCACCACCACTGCCCACATACAAGATAGTATCTTAACAACAACAACAACAAAAATTATCTGAGAGTGGGGCCTGGAGAGACAGTCCAGTTGTTAAGAACATCCAGAGGACCCTAGTTCGATTCCATATCAGGGCTCTAACTCTATCTCCATGAGATCCAATGCCTTTAGCCTCCATGAGCACTCACACACATCAACACACACACACACACACACATACACACACACACATACTTGCGGTTAAAATAATTATTTAAAAACTTATCTGATAGCCCTAAAGCTATCAGACAGAAATATTCCATGATTCATGCTCCCCACAAGGTTATCTGACCACAAGAGACACATGAAAGGTTAGCTAGGATGTATCACTAGGATGTATCCCAACACAGGAATTAGGGAAGAGGTCATTCAGACTGTGTGTTTGCCATTGAATCAGCAGGTCCAGAAATGAACCTGCTGGAAGAGCGAAGCAGTAAAGCAAGCTATTTTTGAAGCCGGAGGCACTGGCTTAATTAGATCATATAGGCTGGTTCTTTTGAACAAAAGGTTGAGCAGGATCCCAGCATAGCCAGATTTGTGCAGTCAACAGAAAATGCAATTTTCCCCTATCATACTCCAGAGGAAACGTTCTTTTCTCCTCTTCCTATGAGCAGAAGGTAATTCACACCATGGGGAGTCGGGCTCTTTGCATAATTATCCATCCAACATGAAAGCCATGCTGCCTGTTAGGAGAGCCAGCTCTGCAAGGTGGACAGGAAGCAAACCAGTAACTTGCTCTGTCAGGTTGTGTGTGTGTGTGTGTGTGTGTGTGTGTGTGTGTGTGTGTGTGTATGTGTGTGTGTGTGTGTGTATGTGGCTGCAGCTGAAGTTCTCATTAATACCCCAAACATGAAAAGAAAAAAAGTGAAGACAAAACTCACAAGCTGAAGCTGAACAGCCAGCCTGCTTTGCAAACCCAACAAGAAGACACTGAAAACAAGAGGTTGCAAACTCAGACACTTGGTAGTGCTTTGGGGACTTTGAGAAGAGAACGAAACAAAGCCGGCAGGAAATCCATAACCTAGCCATGAATCGTGCTCCCTGTCATTTCACTTCCGGTGACCCAGAGAAGACAAGATAAGCATCTGGGGTAGTAAGCTGTCCCAGGGAAGCATTGGTATAGATTTACATAGTTTGGGGAAATGAGGGTTAGCAGTTCACTGAGCAGCCATTGTGCCAAGTAGTAGTTCCTCCTGCCCAGATTAAATTATCTTCCTCCATAAAGATTTACCCAGCCCCTGGTACATGTCTACACGTGTTAGGTACCAACAACACGGTATGTGCAGAATGCAGACCCGCCTTTACTCTAGCATGGTCCAACAGATACAGAATGCAAGCTACATGGATAACTTTAAATTCTCTAATAGTTGAGGGGTAGGGGGAATTGAGCAGGTGAAATTAATTTTAGTCACATTTGAATGATCTCCATATATTTAAACTACTATCATTTATGATGTAATCAGTATTTTAATTATTTTTGAATCAATTTCCCTTTAATTTTGTGGGGCGTTTACCCACCACCCCCACAGTTCCCCAGAGTTTTCTTGAGTGCGAGCAGCAGGAAATATTAGATAGAAGGATTTATTGCGGAAAATATTGCAGAGATAAACAGGTAGAAAATAAAGGATAGCCTCAAGAGGGCCTGGAACCTTTTCCAATGGGCCCCGACTGTCTCTGCCCCAGGGTTTTTATAGAGACGCCAAGGGGTGGAGCAAAA